ATACGTCTACTACTACTTCTGCTGCTGCTATAACTACAACTGCTGCTGCCGCTGATACATCTACTACTACTACTACTGCTGCTGATACGTCCACTACTACTTCTACTGCTGCTGCTGCTATAACTACAACTGCTGCTGCCGCTGATACATCTACTACTACTACTACTGCTGCTGATACGTCCACTACTACTTCTACTGCTGCTGCTGCTATTACTACTGCTGCCGCTGATACGTCTACTACTACTACTACTACTGCTGCTGCTGCCGCTGATACGTCTACTACTGCTGCTGATACGTCAACTACTACTTCTACTACTGCTGCCGCTGATACGTCTACTACTACTTCTGCTGCTGCTATAACTACAACTGCTGCTGCTGCTGCCGCTGATACGTCTACTACTACTACTACTACTACTGCTGCTGCTGCTGCCGCTGATACGTCTTCTACTACTACTACTGCTGCTGCTGATACGTCTACTACTACTACTTCTGCTGCTGCTATATCTACAACTGCTGCTGCTACTGCCGCTGATGCGTCTACTACTACTACTACTACTTCTGCTGCTGCTATAACTACAACTGCTGCTGCTACTACTACTACTACTGCTGCTGCCGCTGATACGTCTACTACTACTACTTCTGCTGCTGCTATAACTACAACTGCTGCTGCTACTACTACTGCTGCTGCTGCCGCTGATACGTCTACTACTACTACTACTACTACTACTACTACAACTGCTGCTGCTACTACTACTACTACTGCTGCTGCCGCTGATACGTCTACTACTACTACTACTACTACTTCTGCTGCTGCTGTAACTACAACTGCTGCTGCTACTACTAATGCTGCTGCCACTGATACGTCTACTACTACTTCTACTGCTGCTATTACTACAACTGCTGCTACTACTACTACTACTGCTGCTGCCGCTGATACGTCTACTACTACTTCTGCTGCTGCTATAACTACAACTGCTGCTGCTGCTACTACTACTACTGCTGCTGCTACGTCTACTACTACTACTACTACTTCTGCTGCTGCTATTACTACAACTGCTGCTGCTACTACTACTGCTGCTGCCGCTGATACGTCTACTACTACTTCTGCTGCTGCAATCACTACAACTGCTGCTGCTACTACTACTACTACTACTACTACTACTACTACTACTACTACTACTGCTGCTGCTTGATACGTCTACTACTACTACTACTACTACTACTACTACTACTACTACTACTACTACTACTACTACTTCTGCTGCTGCTATTACTACTACTACTACTACTACTACTACTACTACTACTACTACTACTACTGCTGCTGCTATTATTACTACTACTACTTATACTGTTACTGCTACTACTACTATTACTAGTACTATTTATGCTGCTACTACTACTACTTATGGTGCGGCTAATACTACTACTACTACTACTACTACTACTTCTGCTGCTTCTACTTCTGCTGCTACTACTGCTGCTGTTATTACGACTACTACTATTACTTCTGCTGCTGCTACTACTACTACTACTGCTGATGCTATTATGATACTACTACTCCTCCTGCTGCTATTACTACTACTGCTGCTGATGCTACTACTACTACTACTACTACTACTACTACTACTTCTGCTGCTGCTATTACTACTACTTCTGCTGCTGCTATTATTACTACTACTGCTTATAGTGTTACTGCTACTACTTATGCTACTGCTGCTGCTACTACTACTACTACTTCTGCTTCTGCTATTACTACTTCTGCTACTGCTGATGCTGCTGTTAATTCTGCTGCTGCTAATATTACTACTTCTGCTATTATGACTACACCTACTACTACTACTACTACTACTACTACTACTACTACTACTACTACTACTACTACTGCTGCTGCTGCTGCTGCTGCTACCACTACTACTATTACTAGTACTATTTATGCTGCTACTATATACATACTTATGGTGCTGCTAATACTACTATAGGTCTGCTGCTGCTAATACTACTACTGCTTCTGCTGCTACTACTACTTACTACTACTACTGCTGATGCTATTATGATACTACAACTACTACTACTACTGCTGCTGCTGCCGCCGCTGCTACTACTACTACTGCTGCTGCTGCTACTACTACTACTACTACTACTACTACTACTACTACTTCTTCTTCTTCTGCTGGTACTACTACTTTATTTTTCTGCTTCCCCTCCCTTATAAGAATGTTGGCACATTGTACTGTGCTTTACAGGAAGGCTGTGATATCCACGCTTTGTAGTCCAACATATCCTATTTCAGCTAATCCTTAATTAGTCGCTTTAAAAAAAATGCTTGTTAAGTGCTGATTGCGGTTGGTCTGCGCCATCCTGCACTATTTAATGAGTTTTGAAGCCTGTCGCCTTAGACGATGCTAACTTGCTTCGCAATTCAAAGTTGCTGGCTTAGATCCCATCTTTTGCCGATTTGACAGCAGACCGCGTTGCGTTGGTTTCGACAGTGGTATCGAGAGACGACTGTTTAGAAAGTAGTGGCAAACTACTCAATGTAAACTTGCCTAGTGACGTCACAAACTGATATATAATGCCGGGGTTTGTCCTGCAACATGTAACAAGACTTATCGAGGTAGACAAATCATATTTACAATGTTTTCGTTGTTCAGTTCAACAGGCTCGTTGAGTTCATGGGGTAGACAAATCACATTTACAATGTTTTCGTTGTTCAGTTCAACAGGTTCGTTGTTGAGTTTATGAGGTGGACATGGATTAAATAATTTGTGCTGAGATCCAGCTGTTACATCTGAGAGTGAAGAGGTAATACATTTTTAATACAAACTCATTACATCTTAAAGTGAAAGTAAATGACTCTCTTTCGCCAGTAGCGCATTGCCTATTGACCCAGACAAAAAACGATACTAGGAAAAGTCATGGAAAGGTAAAGTGGTTGTCGTGATGTTGTTAGATAACCTTTCATGTGCCAGCTAGCCTGTAAAAGTGTGAGCCTAGCATCACATGTCCAACTGGCATAAAGATGGCCTGGACTTTTACTGTTTATCTGACCAGTGCGCTCTGAGATCCCAGCCAGCATCATCGTTGCTAGGGAAACATTCAGGCTTTCGTGTAATTGTTCTGTTGAAGAAAACGTGGTCACAGTCAAATGAGCCACCCTACTTCACTAGCATGTGTTAGAATATGTGACAGTTGAAATATCTTCGACTTCGCTGGCTGTCTGTCTGTTATGAGACCAACAAAACATGCTGACATTTTAAAGCTCAGTAGGGAGGGAGGTATCTGGCCTACATTTTCTATGACACTAGACAAGCCGGGATTAACTAGACTGTTGTCACTTTCTCAGACGGTTTGGTTGGAGGGGGGGGGGGGTATTTGGCAGTAGTAGTAGATGAAAGGGGGCAGAGTTCTAGTATTCATACATACATACATACACACACATACATACATACATACATACATACATACATACATACAGACACACACGCACGCACACACACACACACACACATACACACACACACACATACACACATACACACACATTACATTACATTACATGTACGTACATACATGTAATAACATACATACATACATACATACATACATACATACATACATACATACATACATACATACATACATACATACATACATACATACATATACATACATACATACATACATACATACATTACATTCACACATTACAGACAGACAGACAGACATTCACACACACGCGTGCATGCGCACATACACATGCGTGCGCACATACACATACATGCGAACACATACATGCGCACACACACATGCATGCACACATACACACACGTGCTAAAAAGTAGTGATCTTAGTTCACAACTGTTATGTTTCATCTGATCGGGTATTCCCTGTGATGTCAGACAACAATGCTCCTAAATCTCGCTATACTTCTTCTTTTTTCCTTTACTTGTAAACTATAGTAACATTCATATCTGTCTTCTTCCTCAAATCATTATCACATTCACTGGAGCGAACAGTCTGCAAACAGAATTAAAGCTCAGTTAAGGCATCATTTCTCTCTGGACTTGAGGGTAAAAACTGGTGTTTGTATAAGGTTGGCATGCCTGAGTGCATCTCTGCTTGATCTTGCGATTACACTGAGGCTCGTTGACACGCTATTGTGGTAAACTAGTCTACATTTGTGTTGTCACAGTAACACACCAAGGAACACAATCGCTAACAAACCAGTCAACATTTGTGTTGTGATAGTAACACATCCTGCCTCTTTCAAAACCTCTTGATTGCATTCTTCTGTAAAACCACATCTGTGAGGCCTCAAGAAATTGTCTGGCCTGCGTACGGATTGTCCAGGATTCACAGCCATATGTTAAAACTGGATGTATGTAGCAGGCAAGAATTCTTTTTCTAACTCTCAATGACAAGGATATATTGCACAAGATGTTCTTAATTTATAAAATGCAGTTTTTGCCTGTCCTATTCTGTTTCTTATCTCAGTTATGCATCTTCCTTCTGATGTTATCCATGTGCCCAGATACTTAAATTTCTGTACTTATCGCAAAATAACACCATCTACTTTTATTACACATTTAGGAATAATTCGTTTCTTTGATACTACCATTACTTCTGTCTTCCCTTTATTCAAACTGAGGCCCATTCTTCCACTGTCTATCATTTCCTGTAGTACTTTCTGACTTGTTGCTATCAAGACTGTGTCATCAGCATAACGTAAATAGTTTATATTGTGCAGACCAACCACAATTCCGGGCATATCATTTAAAGATCTCATTATATTTCATAAATGGATATAACTACACCCTTAAACAATGCGTTTACGCCCCCCCCCCCCCCTCTTCCCGTGACACATTGTTTTCTTTCTGTCGGAGCCCCTACCTAAGTATTTCGGAATTTTGAAACTGCCTTTTAACCCGACATTTGCAAAATCCATAATGTTTCCTGTATTTCCTTGTCCTCAGAACTGGCCAGATAAGATATACAAAATGAGACGATTAAAACATCGTCATAAACATAAAGAACTTCAGATCACAGTCAAGAAACGAGACAGAGGAATTAAGTCATCGTTCTGCTCGTTCTACTTCATCGCCGGCACACTCAAGACACTTACTTTGATCTTTTTTTACTATCTATTCTCTATTGGACTGACCTTCTACAACAGGCATTTGTTCATGGTAAGTTTAACTATTGATACCGTTTGTCTAATTGCAAATCTCTGGCCAGTATATACCCTACTGCATGTACCAGCAACACAACACAGACTTCACAGCAGCGCTCGGGATCTATTCACTTGTGCCCAGTCTCCTTCTGCAGATGTCGGAGCTGTAGGGGAAACATCCATTATCATCGGAATAAACCGACTACTCTGGAAATGTTTGTTGTGGGGTAGTTGACCAATATTTTATGGTCCTAGCATAGGGCTAGTGTCTGACCCCCCCCCCCCCCCCACACACACACACAAACACTTGATAATGATAGTCTGATTTGTAAGCATTTGTTCATATGAGTGATTGACTGCACTTATCCGTCTTTCCAGAGGACAGTGTTATATTGCGCTATGAGGAGGCATGGGACTCACAGCACATGGCGATGGCGAGTGTGACTAGCAAGACCCGCCCGTGTCAAGAAAAGTCTTCCACAATTATAGCACGGAATTTCAGGACCGTTGTTATCAACATTTGTGTTTAGTTCGTTTCTTCTCAGGTGCTCAGCTCTCATTCTTTCTGTAACCATTTCTTCCTTCAGTCTTATTGCATTCCTGGTGTGCTCCTTTCACACAACGCGGTCCATGGGATTTTGTTCACACGAGTCCACCTAATTACCTGTATCATTCATGTCCCTCTTGCACATATCGTTTTATAGCAGTAGAGGTTTGGCCTCGACATCTTCTATGTCTTTAATTCCCCATAAAGGATGTCCTTAGGGACTCTGCCATCCTCCATTCTCCAGGTGTGACCCAGCCAACTGTGCCTTCGTAGACTGAGCATGGAAAAAAACCGTTGTAATGCCTGCTCTTTCCAAAACTTCAGTGTTTGAGATCTTTTCCTGTCACTTAATGCCAAGTATTCTTCTTAGGCATCGCATGTTAAAGCTGTTGAGCCGTCTCTCTCCTGGTGCGAATTAGCTGACCAAGATACACTGCTAAAAAGCAGAGTGTTTTATATGAGTCAATTTTATATTTTTTTTCAAATATATATATATTTTTATTTTGCCATTCAGCACATCATATGTTTGAAGCAACAGTCAGGTCAAGGTCATAGGCATGCGTATTGCGTATTTGTCTTCAACTATTTCACTTTGATTGTTTTGGTTTTGTAGTTTAATATTAGCCGAACAATATCACGAGGCCTCGGAGGTGTGGTTTTACAGAAGAATCCTTAGAATTTATTGGACAGCTAAGAAGAGAAACCCAGATCTTTTGAAAAAGGCGAGTGCTAAAAGACATCTTATCACAGACATCAGAAAGAGACAGTCATCATTTTTTTTTTTGGGAAAGGGGGGGGGGGGGGGGTCACGTTATGAGAAGAGGAAAAATCGAAAATGTTGTGACTACTGGAAAGATCTGTGGAACTAGAGACAGAGGAATACGGGCGAGGAGATTCTTGACGGCTTTTGTTATTGTATGTATGGTTGTCTTAACATGAACGTACATGCAGCTGCGGATTGTGGAGAGGCATGATCACCCACGCCAGTCGGCAAGGCACTTGATGATGATGATGATTGCGTTTTTACTTTTTCTATGAAATTTTTTTTTTTTTTTTTTTTTTTTTATATAGACGTAACATGCCTATTGAGTGTTTACTATTTCTGTGTATTTCATCTTCGTGGTTTTTTTTTTTTTTTTTAAATAATTGTATATAGAAATAAGTCTGTTGTGCTACTTTGTAGGAAAGTAAGTTGGCGCTGTTTGCTACAATGTGCCATCTGGTCATCAAATTTGTGGTGGCGAGTCTGGCCAGGCTCTTGTTGGAATACAAAACCAAAACACCAAGGGTTGTACTCGACTGGAACACGTACATCCGGCATGTTGCTCCAGCAGGTATGATATTAGTGTTGAAGTGTTTTTTTTTTTTTTTTTAGTTAGACAAAATATGTGTTGTTCGCTCATGCTTAACAATGAACACGGCGGATGTATTTGATAAAACATATCACTTTCTTGCATATACCTGCGAAACATCATTTGGAATGTATCAGTGATTGTAATCCATTGACAGAACCCCTCATTGTATAACTAGAACAAGTACATTCTTCTTTTGTCGTCTCATTGATACCAGGTTGTATCCCAGTGTTGTGGTTTTGTCGTCTCACTGATACCAGGTTGTAGCCCAGTGTCGTGGTTTTGTCATCTCACTGATACCAGGTTGTAGCCCAGTGTTGTGGTTTTGTCATCTCTCTGATACCAGGTTGTAGCCCAGTGTTGTGGTTCTGTCGTCTCCCTGATACCAGGTTGTAGCCCAGTGTTGTGGTTCTGTCGTCTCCCTGATACCAGGTTGTAGCCCAGTGTTGTGGTTTTGTCGTCTCACTGATACGAGGTTGTAGCCCAGTGTCGTGGTTTTGTCATCTCACTGATACCAGGTTGTAGCCCAGTGTTGTGGTTTTGTCATCTCTCTGATACCAGGTTGTAGCCCAGTGTTGTGGTTCTGTCGTCTCCCTGATACCAGGTTGTAGCCCAGTGTTGTGGTTTCGTCATCTCCCTGATACCAGGTTGTAGCCCAGTGTTGTGGTTTCGTCATCTCACTGATACCAGGTTGTAGCCCAGTGTTGTGGTTTCGTCATCTCACTGATACCAGGTTGTAGCCCAGTGTTGTGGTTTCGTCATCTCACTGATACCAGGTTGTAGCCCAGTGTTGTGGTTTCGTCATCTCACTGATACCAGGTTGTAGCCCAGTGTTGTGGTTTCGTCATCTCACTGATACCAGGTTGTAGCCCAGTGTCGTGGTTTCGTCATCTCACTGATACCAGGTTGTAGCCCAGTGTTGTGGTTCTGTCGTCTCACTGATACCAGGTTGTAGCCCAGTGTTGTGGTTCTGTCGTCTCCCTGATACCAGGTTGTAGCCCAGTGTTGTGGTTCTGTCGTCTCCCTGATACCAGGTTGTAGCCCAGTGTTGTGGTTCTGTCGTCTCCCTGATACCAGGTTGTAGCCCAGTGTCGTGGTTCTGTCGTCTCCCTGATACCAGGTTGTAGCCCAGTGTTTCTCGGATGGCCTGGGTGATGAATTTGTTCATCGTCTTGCAGTTTTCACCTACATCATTTGTCCATATTTTTCTTGGTCTTTCCGTCGCCTTGCTCCGATATGTTCTGAAGTATCATTTACAGTTTAGTCTGGCTGAATTCTCATCAGATGGCCGAACCGTTTCATTCTTTGTTTGTCAATATAATCCAGACATGGTCTTATTCTAACTTTTTCTCTCATATTGGTATTCGTAAACCTGTCTGTACTTGCGTTGTTAGTGACCTTATGGAGACAGCGCATTTCACATGTAATTATTTTCTGTTATAGTTCTCTATTAATTGTACATGTTTGGCACTGATAGCATAAAGTGGGGATGAAGATGTTATTAATCATTTGCCTTTTCCCTGGAGAGTTATTTTAAGCAGTGGGCTAACTGGTAGATGACAGCATTTTCCATCTGTACTCTGGTTTCTGTCTCTCTATAGAGTCGGCCATTTTCCATAAACATGCTTCCTATATATATGAACTCTTGTACTTGTTTGATTGTAGTACCGTTAACATGAAAGTTCATGTTATTATGTTTCCTGCCTATTCTCATTACCTCAGTTTCTGCAGTGTTTATTCTCATATCATATTTCGTGCAGGTTTCATGTCACGAGTCAGTACGGTGTTGTAAGTTCTGTTCTTGGTGGTGTTCTGGACACTGGACATCTGCAAACAAGCAAAAAATTATTTGCTTCCTGTGTAATTCTATCCATGTAAGTCAGTGGCTCTCAACCTTCCTCGTGCTGCGACCCTTTCATACAGTTGCTCGTGCTGCGACCCTTTCATACAGTTGCTCGTGCTGCGACCCTTTCATACAGTTGCTCGTGCTGCGACCCTTTCATACAGTTCCTCGTGCTGCGACCCTTTCATACAGTTGCTCGTGCTGCGACCCTTTCATACAGTTCCTCGTGCTGCGACCCTTTCGTACAGTTGCTCGTGCTGCGACCCTTTCATACAGTTCCTCGTGCTGCGACCCTTTCATACAGTAACTCGTGCCGCGACTCTTTCATACAGTTCCTCGTGCTGCGACCCTTTCAGACAGTTCCTCGTGCTGCGACCCTTTCATACAGTTCCTCGTGCCGCGACCCTTTCATACAGTTCCTCGTGCTGCAACCCTTACATACAGTTCCTCGTGCTGCAACCCTTTCATACAGTTCCTCGTGCTACGACCCTTTAATACAGTTGCTAATGTTGTGCCACTCCCAAACATAAAATTATTTTCGTTGCTACTTCATAACTTCAGTAAATATGTGTTTCCTGATGGTCTTATGCGACCCTTGTGAAAAGGTTGTTCGACCCCAAAAAAGGTCGTGACCCATAGGTTGGGAACCGCCGATGTCAGTAATGAGTAGCAATGGTGAAAGGACACATCGCTCTCAGACACTTGATGAGATGGGAAACGATTCTATATCATTCCTTCGGTTGCTTTTACTATGCACTATCTTGATAAAGAGCCATGATGATTTCCAGCAGTTGATCTTAGACAAGAATTCCATTTACAAAACTAACACCTATCTTCACTGTGGGAGGCGGCAGCTATGGCTTAGGTGTTGCGAATGCAGTCTGTAATTCCGAGATACTCGGTTTGATTCAGTTGCGGACGATTTTAATTATCTGTGCTTCTGCACTGTTTACTTACCCTCAAAGGGCCCTTACAACATCCAAGTTGTCATGCATCTTTTCACCACCAAGTTGTGTAGAATCAGCCAGTAATCTGCCTGTTCGTTTCCGAATACACCGGCATGTATAAATATCTAAAGCACGCTATCCGAGACCTCTGATGCGAATGCTTGCCACTCTGCATGAAGCATGTCCGTCTCCACCTTTCTGAAAATGCTTTGTGAGTCGATTACAATTATGACATGTGTGTACAGCTGATTCTCAAGACTGCTGTGACTGCCTCCACCTTCATTCTCAAACTAGACGTTGTGTTGTCTGATGTCAGCCTTTGTTGCACTAAGTGGCGTCCATTCACTTTTGCTAAGAACCCCCATAAGCTTCGTCTACCTCTCAACACAGAGCCATCTGTATAGATTCTCAATTTATTCCCTTTTCGACATTCACAACAAAAACGGTTGCTTGTTTCTCACTTTACTCTCACAGCCAGACTTTGTTTATTTCAAACTTCACACACATCGCTCGTCGACTGATGCAATATTTTATTTGCTGCAGGTCTTGCAAGTTCCCTGGATATAGGATTATCTAACTGGAGTTTTGAAATGATCACAGTCTCCTTGTAAGTAATCACTGAGATAACTTCGTCAATGTGTGACCAGTCATGAGCGTTAATTAATTACAGGAGTCAATACCAACAGAGAGTGTAGACCAACTTTGTGTTTTATCTGGTTTCTTGAGATGGATTCATGAGATTAGTTCTTGGCTGCATGTTTGTTAGATGTGGGTGACGCTTGCATACATTATTTTTGTTTGGTTTGGTGTGTGTGTGTGTGTGTGTGTGTGTGTGTATGTGTGTGTGTGTGTGTGCCCATGCACGCGCGTGTGTGTGTGTGTGTGTGCGTGCGTGCGAACGAGTGGGGTAGGGGAAAACTAATGTTAGGTTATGTTGGATTATGTGAAAAGTCATCGTAGTCTCATTTTCTTCCAAATGAAAACCCCAAAGGCACATCCAAGTAATGGGGGATGGTCAACACACAGTTGCCTAACAATAGACAATCGCCTGACAATAGACAATTGCCTGACAATAGACAATCGCCTGACAATATGTGTGTGTTGTCCATCAAGATGATGATAACCACTCTGTTTCATCAAGAATGAGTACAAAGATGACTGATGAGGCCGATGCGGGCCCGAAAGTTCTTGGACAGTGAGGACAGGGAATGAGCGTTGCGCCAGGGAGGAGATCTCCTGCAGTCGTCTTTCTGTCCATCCTTTTCTTAATCAGTCTTGCTGTTCTGTTTGCATTACATGTAGCCGCGTCCCTGTGTAGAGCTGCACGCCATGCATTTCAGTCTTGAGAGGCAGCCTGCCAGTTGGTGTCATTCATCCCAAATGCTTTGAATGAAGACTTCAAGGTGTCCTTAAAGCGTTTCTTTTGCTCGCCTTATGAACGTTTCCCCTTTTGCAGCTCACCATAAAAGATTTTTTTTTGGGGAGCCTGTGATCTGGCATGCGTGTCACGTGACCAGCCCAACGAATTTGATACAGACCGCGCATTCTGCCGTCTTTGCATGCTTGGATAGGCAGATCCTAACCCACCGATGTTCAAACATCGGCTCCCTCACCTGGTTTTGCCGGCCTGTCAAAGCCGTTGCCCGGGGGTGGGGGTGGCCGCTATCGCATGCTGACAGCTACGTGGAGCCACAGGTGAGCGCTGAGTGTTAAAAGGGACAATGTTCCGAATTTTAGAGACAATAGTTTAGTTTTCTTGAATATTCTGGTGTTTAGACCGCTGTTGCAAGGTACCCACCAGCCGCAGTAAGCTAGTTAGGTAGTGGTGGAACAGGCAATGTTTAGGGCACCTTTTCTAGCCCCTTCCTCATGCCATGGAGGTGAGCAATGCTCCTGGCAATTGGCTGACAACACAGTTTTAGAAAATGCACAGTTGGAAGGGAATATCCGTTGACATGGCACACACTGTGTTATAATTATGGTACCCAGAACCATTCATCATATTTTACACAGAGGACAGCAGGTTGCTTATAGGTTCTGTTAAAATGGCTCAAAGGAGTTTCTAAGATTGATTTCGACTGAAATAGTTCAATAGTAGACAAGAACCCCTCCCCCCACTATTTTTTACTCCTATCTGTCTACTTTTTTTGTTTCCTGTGAGTCGTCAGATATGAGTCTATTATGAATCTATAGCTGAATGTAGAACATTATTCACTACTGTTGGAAAAGAGAGGATCTTTTCCTTTCAAGTCGGAGCGCGTCTGCCAGAGAGGTGAGGTACCAACAGTCTGCATACAGTAGCCAGATCTATAAAGTGAATGTACACATAACTCTCAAGATCTGGAACAATATCACAATTCAGACATGAAGGGCCAATCAGGACTTAGTGCCGTCAGTGAACAATAACAGTAACAGCAACACCAGCAATAAATAAATGTTGGGGCATCAATGACATATTTATGACAAAATATATGGCGCTGTTTCAGATACACAATGTCCAAGTCGACTGCCGTGGTGTTCATTCTGTTCTTCTCGCTGGTTTTCAGGCTGGAGAAGTTTGTAAGTTGCTGGGGTCAAGAGGTCACCTGGAACGTTGCCTGTCAGGTGTAGAATGTGTTGTGAGGTCGTTGACCTGTGGCATCATGTTTTGGTGAAGAAATGTATTTTATTTAGATTAAATTGCACGAGCTATTCCACCCCCCCCCCACCCCATTGGACTCCCAGTTTTTTTTTGGGGGGGGGGGGTGGGAGTGGGGGGGGGATATTTGTGATTAGCGATTAGTCTGATCTCCTCCTCAAAAGCTCCACGAGTTTAATATGATGACGCCTGTTCTGTGTTGGTTAATGAAACATCTTGTCCCCTTAGTGAAATGTTCATTCCTTGCAGCTCCAGGCTGCACCCCCATGTCCATCAGTCTAGACAGGGATATGGAGTCATGTCCTTTGGCGTGCTCGTCATCACGGTAAGTGCCGCGCATGGTATCATTGCTTCTGTCCAGTACTGGGCCAGCCATAGCAACTGCAGTGTCATCAAGATAATCTGCACGCTCGTTTCCTTGAACACCCATATTACTTGGCACAAAGATGAACGTTAGGGCAGCCATTCGTGAAGTGCTGAGTTTGCAACCCATTCTTGCCTGATAAATCCAGCTTGGGTTTTTTTAACATATTCATCGAGTCACTAACTATACAAATATGTGTAAACTCTTGGAGAACCAAGCCATGATAATGCCCTTGTTACAGCCACAGTTTCCATAGTAATGCTACTAGTTGTAACAGCAAAAATGTTAGGCTTACCTTCCTTACATCAAGCTACAATGGTTTTCCGAGTCCATTTAGAGCGGTACAATAATCATTTATACATTCTGGGTCCACAGTATTCTCATCAACTGTCTTCATTCTTGCAGGATATGAGACATGTAACGTTATTGGCGAAGATATTTGCATTCATAAATTGGAGGGGGATGGGCAAGAGACGGAAAGAGAAAGCAAGAGAGAGGGGGGGAGAGAGAAAGAGGATGGGATGGGCAAGAGAAGAAGAGAGAAAGAGGGGGGATGGGCAAGAGACGGAAAGAGAAAGCAAGAGAGAGACAGGGAATAAATGGACTGATATAAAATTTGAGAGGATAAAGTGCATTTAAAAGAGATGGATGGCGTTGATAAAAAGAAAGTCGAGGTGGGGGGGGGGGGGGGGGAGTTATGGAACAAACGAGCGAGCTTTAATTTTTTAGACATGCTAAAACATGCATTTATAATGATAAAATAATGTGTGTTTTCGATTTCAGCGATGGAGTTTAGTGGTGGTTGTTTTGCTGATCTTCTCTGGGCTGATGATGTTTACATATCACTCCACTCAGTTTAACACAACCGGCTTTATACTGGTGATGACCGCTTCGGTGTTAGCAGGACTGCGCTGGACCTTGGCTCAGGTTCTGCTGCAGAAAGATCAAATAGGTATGTGGACACTGGTCTACCTCACTCGATGGACAGGTAGACTTGGTTGGCTGGTTGCTTGGTTGACCCCTCTCTGTCCTGACATCTGTGCTATAGGGAGCTGTGGGAATCAGTCTGTGGTGAGGCCAGCGAGTCCCATGCCAAGTGAGCATAGGGGTGAAATTCCTCATCTCTACAGCACAAAGACTGGGCAGTATTGTAGATTTAGGGACCATTTCTTCCACATGAGATATGATCCCTCCCTAGACCTGCATTTAAAAAAAACATTCTTTTGGCTTCAAAGGAAAGGTCAACCTAATACGTTTGGACTAAAACATCCCGCAGAAGCTGCCAGATCAGAAAAGCAGTGGTCTGTCTATCCGCCTGTCAGAGCTTCTCTCCTAGACCACCTGCCAGCCACGGCTAAGGGCCTGGTCTGCCCTGGCATAATATACAAGTTTTCTGGTTCCATTTCTTTTTCCTAGGATACGACAAGGATCGTCTGCAGTGTGCTTCTCTGACAGACGCCGTTGTCACAATGTTGGATATCAGGTTTGGTGTACTTTGTCTGTAACTCATCATTAGCAGAAAACAGGGAGTATCGACTACTGTTATATGCTACCTCAGTCGTATCTGACCAAGACCTGAGAATGCAGCTAGTATCGACTACTGTTATATGCTACCTCAGTCGTATTTGACCAAGACCTCAGACTGCAGCTAGTATCGACTACTGTTATATGCTACCTCAGTCGTATTTGACCAAGACCTCAGAATGCAGCTAAGTATCGACTACTTTTATATGCTACCTCAGTCGTATCTGACCAAGACCTCAGAATGCAGCTAAGTATCGACTACTTTTATATGCTACCTAAGTCGTATCTGACCAAGACCTAAGAATGCAGGTAGTATCGACTACTGTTATATGCTACATCAGTCGTATCTGACCAAAACTCGACGGAGAACTAAAGAATCCTAAAACTTGGTGGATTGGAAGAACCGTTGATTACTGTATTTCAAACTTAATTGATGGGAAGAACCATTGATTACTGTATTTCAAACTTAATTGATGGGAAGAACCGTTGATTACTGTATTTCAAACTTAATTGATGGGAAGAACCATTGATTACTATATTTCAAACTTAATTGATGGGAAGAACCATTGATTACTGTATTTCAAACTTAATTGATGGAAAGAACCATTGATTACTGTATTTCAAACATAATTAATGGGAAGAACCGTTGATTACTGTATTTCAAACTTAATTGATAGGAAGAACCGTTGATTACTGTATTTCAAACTTAATTGATGGGAAGAACCGTTGATTTCTGAATTTCAAACTTAATTGATGGGAAGAACCATTGATTACTGTATTTCAAACTTAATTGATGGGAAGAACCGTTGATTACTGTATTTCAAACTTAATTGATGGGAAGAACCATTGATTGCTGTATTTCAAACTTAATTGATGGGAAGAACCATTGATTACTGTATTTCAAACTCAATTAATGGGAAGAACCGTTGTCTGGGAAATCATAAACAGATCATTGTCCACAGTATCATTAAGCTTTTGGACACTGAGACCACTACGACAATTACTACTGATGCTTGTTTAGCTTCTACTGTTACTGCAGTCTACTACTACTACCTGGAGCAACAACGACTACTACAATTATTACTACTGCTGGTACACAACTAGAGTTATTTATTTTGTATCACGGACCATGGCGGGTTCTCCTCCTCCTCAGACTGTTAGGCTTCTACTACAACCTACAACAAATATTACTGCTGATGAAACTATGACAACTTCTACTACCACCACTAATATAACTAGGAACACTGCTACTACCACTGCCACCAGTATTACTGTAACTACTATTGCTGCTGCTACTACAACTACATTGTGTTGTGATGTTTGCGCAGGTTTACACAATCCACTGGACATGATGTACCATATACAACCATGGATGATGGTGGCACTGTTACCGCTTTGTGTCGGTGTCGAAGGTTTGTGCTTTCACTTGATCTCCTCTGTTAACTAGTCACACTTTATTAACATGAACTCTCAATTACCATGAACACAAACATGGTGTTTAACATGAAATATTTGTTCAGTTTCTTGGAATTTGTGTTAACAAGGTTTTATTGCTTATATACTCAAGGCTTATACTCCCCACCCCCACCCCACACTCCCCCTTTGCCACCTAACTCATCTAAAACCTATAAGGGGACAGAGCTGTCCTGTTTTCTTTGTGTCAGCACTATTGTCTGTGTTTCCTGGGATCATAATAAGCAACACTGACAGGATTTCTTACACAAACGCCAGCAACTAAAGCACAACTGAAGGGCTTGTTGAGCTGAGTTGAGTTAGGAATTGACATCATTCCCATGCATGCTCCGTCCTCATCTTCAGCAGCCAGCGCAGAGCTCCAATACTGATGGTACCGGTCACAATCTGGTTAAAAATCCGTCTTGCCTTTCCTCTGATTGTAGTGAGCCAGCCAGTCCCTCTGGTTTCACCCAGGTGCCTCAATCTCTCCAGGCCATAATAATCTTCTTCCTCTACTGGTTCCGTTGCTTGTTCCCAAAGGACCTTGACCACATCTGCCATGTCAGGTATCAATTCAGCTTGAAATCCACAACTATGGAATACGGACAGAATTCATTTCAAACCATTGAAATGGCATCATAGGTTACAGAAATTTATATTAACGAAGCATATGTCGAATAACAATCACAGCAACAATTTACGAACACAGTAGACTTTAATGCTTTGTCTAGACTACACAAACATTTAAGAAAGGTATTTGACTGGTAGGTTCCGGTGTGTATATATGTCATTCCTTTGAATAAACAGAGGGGGAACCTTAGAGGCCGTTAAATATTATGAATTAATTAAGTAACAGAAAGTGTATTGATTGGCACTTATAGAAAGAAGTAGAAAGATAGAAGAACATACTAGACAACATAAAAATCGAAAGCTATAGTTACCGTGCTGGGAATTGAACCTGTCACCTCCAGACGGCGTGTGCGCCTCGCCATGGATACAAGTGCACTAAGAACATGGTCAACTAGACACCCCCCCAAAAGGTGTCTTATTGGCCATGTTTATTCATATGTGTTATGTGTATGCACGTATCGAGTCTAGTTTCTGGTCTGTACAAATGTGACTCTTATACCCCAAGCCCTTCACTTGTATTTTATTTTGTTGTTGTTGACACGTCAGATAGTTGTTGTTGACACGTCAGATAGTTGTTGTTGACACGTTAGATAGTTGTTGTTGACACGTCAGATAGTTGTTGTTGACACGTCAGATAGTTGTTGTTGACACATCAGATAGTTGTTGTTGACACGTCAGATAGTTGTTGTTGACACGTCAGATAGTTGTTGTTGACACGTCAGATAGTTGTTGAGACAGTAACTGCACTCCATTTCGGTATTTTGTTGTTGTTGACACGTCAGATAGTTGTTGAGACAGTAACTGCATTTCATTTCTGTATTTTGTTGTTGACACGTCAGATAGTTGTTGAGACAGTAACTGCATTTCATTTCTGTATTTTGTTGTTGTTGACACGTCAGATAGTTGTTGAGACAGTAACTGCATTTCATTTCTGTATTTTGCACAGGGTTATTTGTGTCAACCACAGAACTGTATTTTCGTTTCTCCGATTGGTCAGCCCTGATGTCCAACATCGGGGCGGTTGTCTTTGGTGGCTGTCTTGGCTTCATGCTGGAGCTGAGTGAGTATCTCCTGCTGGCTCACACATCCAGTCTCACCCTGTCCATCTCTGGAGTATTTAAGGCAAGTTGTTGTTGACTGGATGTTGCAATTTATTGTTGTGCATTTTTTTTTTTAATTTGAAACCCTATCCTGGCTTTTGGCGTCTGTGGCTTAGGCGTTGTGAACGAGCTTCGTAATGCCCGGGTGCCAGGTTTGATACCAGCTGCGGGCCTTGCGCTGGTTTCGACAGTGGTATCGAGATGCCGACCGTCCAGAAGCAATGGCAAACTACTGGACATCTTCTTCTTCCGTTTGCCTGAAATAAGTTGTCTATATTAGCAGTTTTGTCTCTTGTATAAATGTCACTGTCGTTGTTAGTTCATTCAGTGGTATTACGTTCCACTGTTGTTCTTTCTGGCCAAAAGGTTTGCCTTACTGTATCAAAATCGGTGCAGTCCTGGAGTACATGCTCTGCTGTCTGGGGCACATTTCCACAGATGCACATGGCTGATACACCCATCTTGAATTTTGTGTACATGTGGTTACGTAATCGGTTGTGCCCTGTTCTGAGGCGGAGGATAATGACTTGTTCTGGTCTGACCATAATAAAATAGTCGTCTTGTGCTGGGGCTGGTGGTTTCCTGATCGATTTAATGGTTCTTTTCTTTTGGTGGTATGTGACTGGTACATCCGGCTGCTCTTTTGTCACACCTTCCCCTGCCAGTTGATCAGCTTTCTCATTTCCAGGCACTCCACAATGAGATGGTATCCACTGCATTACAACTCTTCGCTGAAGGCTGAGTTGTGTCAGCAGTGTTTACAATTCTGGTAGTTTCCTAGACTGGAGTGCTTCAAGTACTGATTTAGCATCTGTCAGCATTACCACATATTGTGAGCCAAGATTGGTATTTAGCAGTTTCTCTGTTGCTTGAGTTTCTGCTTCGTAGTAATGGCAGTACGCTGGACTTATCCCTAGTACCATCTGGGAATTCGATGTACACTCCAGCACCACCATTTCTAAATGCACTTTCTGCGGACCCATCTGTATAGACTCTGACCCATTGTTCTTGTGGGTATTCTTCATCAATATAACTGAAGGTGGCCATTCTGCGTTGTACACTATCTTGCTCTTTCTTGTCAAATTTCCCTTTCACATTTGTCTGGATTTGTACCGTTAGTTTGCATTTTTCTCTCCATGGGGTTTGTTCAGGAATACTTTTAAGTGGGCAACTAATTTCTGGTAGGTCAGTAGTTTGCCTACATATTCTTTTTGCTTGGTGTATAAAGCTGACTACTGGACATAAATTTGCATAGAAAAACCACAACAGCCAAAAAATGCTGGGGTTGGTTCTGCAGTGTCCTGTACAGGATACGCAACTAACAATCCTGGCTTTTGACTGGGGCTCTGAATATAGTCAGGCCATAAATATGGCCTGTTTAAAGGGGTCTCTGGGACCTCTCCATGGGTGATCCTCGTGGTGGTACTTTGTGTCACCAGTGTTTATCACTTGTGTGATGTCCTTGTGGTACATTGTGTCACCAGTGTTTATCACTTGTGAGATGTCCTTGTGGTACTTTGTGTCACCAGTGTTCATCACTTGTGTGATGTTCTGGTGGTACTTTGTGTCACCGGTGTTTATCACTTGTGTGATGTTTTGGTGGTACTTTGTGTCACCGGTGTTTATCACTTGTGTGATGTCCTGGTGGTACTTTGTGTCACCAGTGTTTATCACTTGTGTGATGTCCTGGTGTTTACCACTTGTGTGATGTCCTGGTGGCACTTTATGTCACCGGTGTTTATCACTTGTGTGATGTCCTAGTGTCATCGGCGTTTATCACTTGTGTCATGTCCTGGTGGCACTTTGTGTCACTGGTGTTTATCACTTGTGTGATGTCCTGGTGGTACTTTGTGTCATTGGTGTTGACCACTTGTGTGATGTCCTCGTGGCACCGGTGTTTATCACTTGTGTGATGTCCTGGTGGTACTTTGTGTCACTGGTGTTTATCACTTGTGTGATGTCCTGGTGGTACTTTGTGTCACCGGAGTTTATAACTTGTGTGATGTCCTGGTGGCACTTTGTGTCACTCGTGTTTACCACTTGTGTGATGTCCTGGTGGTACTTTGTGTCACCGGTGTTTATCACTTGTGTGATGTCCTAGTGGCACTTTGTGTCACCGGTGTTTACCACTTGTGTGATGTCCTGATGGTACTTTGTGTCACCGGTGTTTATCACTTGTGTGATGTCCTGGTGGTACTTTGTGTCACTGGTGTTTATCACTTGTGTGATGTCCTGGTGGTACTTTGTGTCACCGGTGTTTATCACTTGTGTGATGTCCTAGTGGCACTTTGAGTCACCAGTGTTTACCACTTGTGTGATGTCCTGATGGTACTTTGTGTCACCGGTGTTTACCACTTGTGTGATGTCCTGGTGGTACTTTGTGTCACCGGTGTTTACCACTTGTGTGATGTCCTGGTGGTACTTTGTCGCTGGTGTTTATCACTTGTGTGATGTCCTGGTGGTACTTTGTGTCACTGGTGTTTATCACTTGTGTGATGTCCTGGTGGTACTTTGTGTCACTGGTGTTTACCACTTGTGTGATTTTCTAGTGGTACTTTGTGTGTATCACCAGTGTTTACCACTTGTGTGATGTCCTGGTGGTACTTTGGGTCACTGGAGTTTACCACGTGTGTGATGTCCTGGTGGTACTTTGTGTCACTGGTGTTTACCACTTGTGTGATGTCCTGGTGTTTACCACTTGTGTGATGTCCTGATGGTACTTTGTGTCACCGGTGTTTATCACTTGTGTGATGTCCTGGTGGTACTTTGTGTCACTGGTGTTTATCACTTGTGTGATGTCCTGGTGGTACTTTGTGTCACCGGTGTTTATCACTTGTGTGATGTCCTAGTGGCACTTTGAGTCACCAGTGTTTACCACTTGTGTGATGTCCTGATGGTACTTTGTGTCACCGGTGTTTATCACTTGTGTGATGTCCTGGTGGTACTTTGTGTCACCGGTGTTTACCACTTGTGTGATGTCCTGGTGGTACTTTGTCGCTGGTGTTTATCACTTGTGTGATGTCCTGGTGGTACTTTGTGTCACTGGTGTTTATCACTTGTGTGATGTCCTGGTGGTACTTTGTGTCACTGGTGTTTACCACTTGTGTGATTTTCTAGTGGTACTTTGTGTGTATCACCAGTGTTACCACTTGTGTGATGTCCTGGTGGTACTTTGGGTCACTGGTGTTTACCACGTGTGTGATGTCCTGGTGGTACTTTGTGTCACTGGTGTTTACCACTTGTGTGATGTCCTGGTGTTTACCACTTGTGTGATGTCCTGGTGGTACTTTGGGTCACCAGTGTTTACCACTTGTGTGATGTCCTGGTGGTACTTTGTGTCACTGGTGTTTACCACTTGTGTGATGTCCTGGTGTTTACCACTTGTGTGATGTCCTGGTGGTACTTTGTGTGTATCACCAGTGTTTACCACTTGTGTGATGTCCTGGTGGTAATTTGTGTCACTGGTGTTTACCACTTGTGTGATTTTCTAGTGGTACTTTGTGTGTATCACCAGTGTTTACCACTTGTGTGATGTCCTGGTGGTACTTTGGGTCACTGGTGTTTACCACGTGTGTGATGTCCTGGTGGTACTTTGTGTCACTGGTGTTTACCACTTGTGTGATGTCCTGGTGTTTACCACTTGTGTGATGTCCTGGTGGTACTTTGGGTCACCAGTGTTTACCACTTGTGTGATGTCCTGGTGGTACTTTGTGTCACTGGTGTTAACCACTTGTGTGATGTCCTGGTGTTTACCACTTGTGTGATGTCCTGGTGGTACTTTGTGTCACCGGTGTTTATCACTTGTGTGATGTCCTGGTGGTACTTTGTGTCACCAGTGTTTACCACTTGTGTGATGTCCTGGTGGTACTTTGTGTCACCAGTGTTTACCACTTGTGTGATGTCCTGGTGGTACTTTGGGTCACTGGTGTTTACCACGTGTGTGATGTCCTGGTGGTACTTTGTGTCACTGGTGTTTACCACTTGTATGATGTCCTGGTGGTACTTTGTGTGTATCACCAGTGTTTACCACTTGTGTGATGTCCTGGTGGTACTTTGTGTCACTGGTGTTTACCACTTGTGTGATTTTCTAGTGGTACTTTGTGTGTATCACCAGTGTTTACCACTTGTGTGATGTCCTGGTGGTACTTTGGGTCACTGGTGTTTACCACGTGTGTGATGTCCTGGTGGTACTTTGTGTCACCAGTGTTTACCACTTGTGTGATGTCCTGGTGGTACTTTGTGTCACCAGTGTTTACCACTTGTGTGATGTCCTGGTGGTACTTTGGGTCACTGGCGTTTACCACGTGTGTGATGTCCTGGTGGTACTTTGTGTCACCAGTGTTTACCACTTGTGTGATGTACTGGTGTTTACCACTTGTGTGATGTCCTGGTGTTTACCACTTGTGTGATGTCCTGGTGTTTACCACTTGTGTGATGTCCTGGTGTTTACCACTTGTGTGATGTCCTGATGTTTACCACTTGTGTGATGTCCTGGTGTTTACCACTTGTGTGATGTCCTGGTGTTTACCACTTGTGTGATGTCCTGGTGGTACTTTATGTCACCAGTGTTTACCACTTGTGTGATGTCCTGGTGTTTACCACTTGTGTGATGTCCTGGTGGTACTTTGTGTCACCAGTGTTTACCACTTGTGTGATGTCCTGGTGGTACTTTGTGTCACTGGTGTTTACCACTTGTGTGATGTCCTGGTGGTACTTTGTGTCACCAGTGTTTACCACTTGTGTGATGTCCTGGTGGTACTTTGTGTCACCAGTGTTTACCACTTGTGTGATGTCCTGGTGGTACTTTGGGTCACTGGCTTTACCACGTGTGTGATGTCCTGGTGGTACTTTGTGTCACCAGTGTTTACCACTTGTGTGATGTCCTGGTGTTTACCACTTGTGTGATGTCCTGGTGTTTACCACTTGTGTGATGTCCTGGTGTTTACCACTTGTGTGATGTCCTGGTGTTTACCACTTGTGTGATGTCCTGGTGGTACTTTATGTCACCAGTGTTTACCACTTGTGTGTCCTGGTGTTTACCACTTGTGTGATGTCCTGGTGGTACTTTGTGTCACCAGTGTTTACCACTTGTGTGATGTCCTGGTGGTACTTTGTGTCACTGGTGTTTACCACTTGTGTGATGTCCTGGTGTTTACCACTTGTGTGATGTCCTGGTGGCACTATGTGTCACTGGTGTTTACCACTTGTGTGATGTCCTGGTGGTACTTTGTGTCACCAGTGTTTACCACGTGTGTGATGTCCTGGTGGTACTTTGTGTCACTGGTGTTTACCACTTGTGTGATGTCCTGGTGTTTACCACTTGTGTGATGTCCTGGTGGTACTTTGTGTGTATCACCAGTGTTTACCACTTGTGTGATGTCCTGGTGGTACTTTGTGTGTATCACCAGTGTTTACCACGTGTGTGATGTCCTTGTGGTACTTTGTGTCACTGGTGTTTACCACTTGTGTGATGTCCTGGTGGGCTACAACAAGAGAGAGGGAGAGACTGATTATCACTCTCATAAATACAACCCTTACCTGTACAGGACTACAGGTGACACCAGGCTGACTGGCCATTACTGGTTTCCTAATTATAGCTTCCTTGTGGGTTAAACGAGCTAATCTGGCTTGCCATGGTCTGCCATCAGCACTGAGATTCTTCACGGTGTCAGACCCTCAGGTTCTTTCTGTTATGCACAATATCTTATTTTTATTTTGCACAATCACCACTGTCATATATTCCTCGTGCACAATCCCTGATCATATCTGATATCTGTTGTGCACAATCTCTGATCATTTTTAATATATGTTGTGCACAATCCCTGATCATATTTGATATTTGCTGTCCACAATCCCTGATCATATTTGATATTAGCTGTGAACAATCCCTGATCATATTTGATATCTGTTGTGCACAATCTCTGTTCATATCTGATATTTGCTGTGCACAATCCCTGATCATATTTGATATTTGCTGTCCACAATCCCTGATCATATCTGATATCTATTGTGCACAATCCCTGATCATATCTGATATCTGTTGTGCACAATCCCTGATCATATCTGATATCTGTTGTGCACAATCTCTGATCATATCTGATATCTGTTGTGCACAATCCCTGATCATATCTGTTGTGCACAATCCCTGATCATATCTGATATCTATTGTGCACAATCCCTGATCATATCTGATATCTATTGTGCACAATCCCTGATCATATCTGATATCTGTTGTGCACAATCCCTGATCATATCTGATATCTATTGTGCACAATCCCTGATCATATCTGATATCTGTTGTGCACAATCCCTGATCTTTTCTGATATCTGTTGTGCACAATCCCTGATCTTATCTGATATCTGTTGTGCACAATCAGGAATCCTGTATCCTGGCCCTGGGCTACTTGGTAAACCACGACCGGCTCAACTTCTTCAACATGCTGGGTCTAGTCTTGTGTTTGTTGGGAATCACAGTGCATGTCATCACAAGTGCTCTTATGGGTAAGTGATGCTTTCTTCTCCTCTTTATCATCATCATCATCATTCACATGCCACAGCTATTTCATCTTCTTCATTCTGTGACCTTCAGACATCACCCTATATATATTTAATGAAAGCAACAGTTAATATGAGCCTGTTGGTACCTCCACAGAGGTGTCCTTAACTCTTTGTGGACCAATCGCCAGTTAAATGGCGTTGACTTTATCCCGATAAGACTACTGACCAGTATACTGGCACTTCATAGAGACACTCTAAATTTGTTCAGTTTGCTGGGGAAACCCAATTTGTATGAACTGTTTTAAAAAGCTAGAATTAGCGACAGGAAGTCCTTTCATTTTCTGAAGTTGACATTATGTTAGCTTCACTTTTAATTCTTAAAATATTATCTTAGATGCGATACAACGTTTACGTGATTTTTCTATATCAAGTGATAAAAGAAAAGATCCAGAACTATACATACAGCTCTGTTGTTGATGAATCTCAGCCAGATAATGACAAACGTCTGAATATTATGATTGATAATATATGTGCCAAACCTGTGTCGACAAAAAGGTTTAGGATAAAGACTGAACCAAATATTTCAATCGGATCATCTGTTTTCCTTGATTTTGGTTGTTGCAAAATCTGACATGTTATATAAAAATGGTCATAACATCCGAAGTTTTTAAATTAACTGTTTAAAATAAAGACTAGCTGATACATAATTGAACACTGAAGGCATGTCAGTTCTTAGAAATAGAAAGCAGTGTTGCTGAACAAGTAAAGTTAGGTAAGGACAACATATTTTGCGTAAATAATCTACATATATATCTAACATCCTTGAATGTTGTGTGATTTTACTAATACTTTGTTGTAATTCTAACACTTTAAATAGTTAAGATTTATTCTGCTCTAATTTCTCTTTAGTTTGATATATCAGTGTAAAGTGTACAGCCAATACTTTTGCTTCAGGAAGGTTTTTAGATTTGTTGTGTTGCAGTAACAAAAATTCTGCTCAAAATTAACGCTGTCCAAACCCTAGACAAAATGTGCTCCTGAAAGAGTTGAAGAAAAAAAAAAGGTTACCGTGTGCTTGAGTTTTTATGTGATATCAAAAATTAAATACAAAAATATGAATGAAAAACATTAACTTTTTAAAAAAAAAATAACCTATGGTATCTAATGAAACTGTCGGCTCTGTGGCTAAGTCAATATGAATGCTTCGTAATGCCTGGGTGCTGGGTTCGATCCCGGTTGCGGGCCATGTGCTTTGCGTTGGTTTTGACAGTGGTATCAGGGAGCCGACCGTCCAGAAAGCAATGGCAAACTACTGGATGTAAATTTGCCTAGAGAAACCACACAACATCCAGAGGCTGCTGGGGTTGGTTCCACAACGTCCTGTAAAGAATACACAACCATTATTATTATCTAGTGAAACTAGGACTTGTCCAGAGCCCAGTGTAGCTTAGCTGGTACACTATCCGCTGTGCAGCCTCTTTGGAATTTGGCTTTTGTATATTCTAGTTCAGGATATCAGGTGAGTTGGTTAGTTCCCTTCACTGCCCTTACTTCCGCAAATATTCTCCAGTACCCCTTTTTCCATGAGCTGGGTAAACCCCATAGCTGTACTTGTCTGCAGATGATGATTGAAATGTCAAACTATGAATCTAGTTCTAGTTTTGATTTTTTCCACAGGCAGAAGAAAACTTCAGCGAAAAGTAAACCGAAGGGCAGCTTCTATAGAGATACTAACAAAAAGGAAACAAGTTGAAAGTGATGATTCAGACAGCGACAAAGTGACTTTATTTCACAGGGATCACAACAGATAGCATACCTTCTTGAAATTTTGCAAACTAACGTTGGCTTGCGAATTCATCTTGTTTACTTTTTTTTTAGCATGCAGCTAAATAAACTGGCCAAAAAAAAGCCTGGAGTAATTGTTCATGGTTGCAATACTAGAACTGACCTCAGTGGTACATGATCAGTGCTACCAGCAGAGATTTACAATACTAGAACTGATCTCAGTGACACATGATCAGTGCTACCAGCAGAGATTTACAATACTAGAACTAATCTCAGTGGTACATGATCAGTGCTACCAGCAGAGATTAGGGCACAATTTTCAAGCCATGGGCGCCTGATACCAGACAGACTTCTGGAAAAACTATGTAGCCACAATACACTTTGGTGAACCAGTTACATGTAGACCCAGCACAGTGAACTAGTTACACATAGACAGAGCACAGTGAACTAGTTACACATAGACCAAACACAGTGAACCAGTTACACACAGACCAAACACAGTGAACTAGTTACACACAGACCAAACACAGTGAACCAGTTACACATAGACAGAGCACAGTGAACCAGTTACACATAGACAGAGCACAGTGAACCAGTTACACATAGACAGAGCACAGTGAACTAGTTACACACAGACCAAGCACAGTGAACTAGTTACACACAGACCAAGCACAGTGAACCAGTTACACATAGACAGAGCACAGTGAACCAGTTACACATAGACCAAGCACAGTGAACCAGTTACACATAGACAGAGCACAGTGAACCAGTTACACATAGACCCAGCACAGTGAACTAGTTACACACAGACCGAACACAGTGAACTAGTTACACACAGACCAAACACAGTGAACTAGTTACACACACAGACCAAAAACTATGTAGCCACAATACACTTTGGTGAACCAGTTACACATAGACAGAGCACAGTGAACCAGTTACACATAGACAGAGCACAGTGAACCAGTTACACATAGACAGAGCACAGTGAACCAGTTACACGTAGACCCAGCACAGTGAACCAGTTACACATAGACAGAGCACAGTGAACCAGTTACACACAGACCAAGCACAGTGAACCAGTTACACATAGACCAAGCACAGTGAACCAGTTACACATAGACCCAGCACAGTGAACCAGTTACACATAGACCCAGCACAGTGAACCAGTTACACATAGACAGAGCACAGTGAACCAGTTACACATAGACCCAGCACAGTGAACTAGTTACACACACAGACCAAGCACAGTGAACTAGTTACACACACAGACCAAGCACAGTGAACTAGTTACACACACAGACCAAGCACAGTGAACCAGTTACACACAGACCAAACACAGTGAACTAGTTACACACAGACCAAACACAGTGAACTAGTTACACACAGACAACCAGTTACACATAGACAGAGCACAGTGAACCAGTTACACACAGACCAAACACAGTGAACCAGTTACACATAGATCAAGCACAGTGAACCAGTTACACATAGACAGCACAGTTACACATAGACATAGACACACAGTGAACTAGTTACACAGACCAAACACAGAACCAAACACACAGACCAAACACAGTGAACCAGTTACACATAGATCAAGCACAGTGAACCAGTTACACATAGACAGAGCACAGTGAAACAGTTACACATAGACAGAGCACAGTGAACTAGTTACACACAGACCAAACACAGTGAACTAGTTACACACAGACCAAACACAGTGAACTAGTTACACACAGACCAAACACAGTGAACCAGTTACACATAGACAGAGCACAGTGAACCAGTTACACATAGACAGAGCACAGTGAACTAGTTACACACAGACCAAACACAGTGAACTAGTCACACACAGACCAAAACACAGACCAACACATAGTGAACTGAACCAGTTACACATAGACAGAGCACAGTGAACCAACACATAGACAGAGCACAGTGAACCAGTTACACATAGACAGAGCACAGTGAACCAGTTACACATAGACAGAGCACAGTGAACTAGTTACACACAGACCAACACAGTGAACAGTTAGTTACACACAGACCAAACACAAGTGAACCAGTTACACATAGACAGAGCACAGTGAACCAGTTACACATAGACAGAGCACAGTGAACCAGTTACACATAGACAGAGCACAGTGAACCAGTTACACATAGACCCAGCACAGTTACACACACAGAAAGCACAGTGAACAGTACACACACAGAGCACAGTGAACTAGTTACACACACAGACCAAGCACAGTGAACCAGTTACACACAGACCAAGCACAGTGAACCAGTTACACACAGACCAAGCACAGTGAACCAGTTACACATAGACCAAGCACAGTGAACAGTGAACCAGTTACACATAGACCAAGCACAGTGAACCAGTTACACATAGACCAAGCACAGTGAACCAGTTACACATAGACCAAGCACAGTGAACTAGTTACACACAGAAAACACAGTGAACCAGTTACACATAGACCAAGCACAGTGAACTAGTTACACACAGACCAAGCACAGTGAACCAGTTACACACAGACCAAACACAGTGAACTAGTTACACACAGACCAAACACAGTGAACTAGTTACACACAGACAACCAGTTACACATAGACAGAGCACAGTGAACTAGTTACACACAGACCAAACACAGTGAACTAGTCACACACAGACCAAACATAGTGAACTAGTTACACACAGACCAAACACAGTGAACCAGTTACACATAGACAGAGCACAGTGAACCAGTTACACATAGACAGAGCACAGTGAACTAGTTACACACAGACCAAACACAGTGAACTAGTTACACACAGACCAAACACAGTGAACCAGTTACACATAGACAGAGCACAGTGAACCAGTTACACACACAGACCAAACACAGTGAACCAGTTACACACACAGACCAAACACAGTGAACTAGTTACACACAGACCAAACACAGTGAACTAGTTACACACAGACCAAACACAGTGAACTAGTTACACACACAGACCAAAAACTATGTAGCCACAATACACTTTGGTGAACCAGTTACATGTAGACCCAGCACAGTGAACTAGTTACACAAAGACCAAGCACAGTGAACTAGTTACACATAGACCAAACACAGTGAACCAGTTACACATAGACAGAGCACAGTGAACCAGTTACACAGTCCAAGCACAGTGAACCAGTTACACACAGACCAAACACAGTGAACCAGTTACACATAGACAGAGCACAGTGAACCAGTTACACACAGACCCAGCACAGTGAACCAGTTACATGTAGACCAAGCACAGTGAACTAGTTACACATAGACCAAACACAGTGAACCAGTTACACATAGAGCACAGTGAACCAGTTACACATAGACAGAGCACAGTGAACCAGTTACACATAGACAGAGCACAGTGAACCAGTTACACGTAGACCCAGCACAGTGAACCAGTTACACATAGACAGAGCACAGTGAACCAGTTACACACAGACCAAGCACAGTGAACTAGTTATACAGACATTAAGCATAGTGCATCAGCCTGCCAGGAAGTGGATGAGAAAGAATCCTGCAGCAGTTCCTACATCTTTTGTTACTTCCATGTTGCCTGCACTGCTCATGAACTTTCCTGGTTCAAATGAAACTAATCAGCCATCTTGGCACACAATCACGGATCATTGTGTGTGAGCGGGCGCCCGCATGTGCGAGAGAGAGGAAAGAGAGATGTTAAGTGGTCTTCATTATGTGTGGAGGACCAACAACACACACTGTGATCCGTGACTCCAAGCAACAGCTTCTTTGCATTTCCGACACTCACAGAAAAGGCCATGTCAGTGCTACTGTCCTGGTGATGCCTAGGTTCTGGGAGGAACAAAGGCTGGACAGTCAGTCAGTGCCAGCTTAACAGTGGAATGTCAGATGTGCTGGACGTTCAGGGCCTTATCCATAGCAGACAGGCACTGTTTCAACGACCTTATTTTTCCTGCATAATTAAAATCTTTGATGCAAGAAACCCACCTCAAGCTGTCACAAAAAGGGCTGGGGTTGTGATCCTTGTGGCTAGGTCAATTGCCTTGCACCCTGAAGGTCATCAGGCCATCTCATGGACTGTGTCCTTTGGGTCATGAATGAGGTCTGTACAGATTTCTGGGGTTTGTCACTGGAGCTACAGTGTTCATACTTTGTGTGACTCTTTTGACAGGCTGCTAGCCTTTCTGTAGAGGGAGAGACTGAGTCACAGGGAATAAAATGTGGTGCAAAGACATTGTTCCTCTTGCCACTCGTATATAGCAGTTGCAGGAATGTTTAGTGTTAGAAATGTATATGATTGAGTTGTGATATTAATTTCTAATTGTTATTGATTGCAAATGTTGACCCTCATCTCCATAAATCAATCATGTAATCATTACATTACATATCTGTGAACATTGCTGTACATTAGGTCATCATTACATCACATATCTGTGAACATTGCTGTACATTATGTCATCAGTACATCACATATCTGTGAACATTGCTGTACATTATGTCATCAGTACATCACATATCTGTGAACATTGCTGTACATTATGTCATCAGTACACATGACAAATTGTTGTTTAAAAAAAAAATGTTGTAACATATAGGTGTGCCTTTCTTCTTGTTTCTTTTGTTGGCTACAAACGCTGCCAGTTTTTGTTACTGAAAATGCTGTTTTTTGCAGTGCTCTCAGCCGGCCAACAAGACATACTGCAGAGATAGACTAAGCTATCATAAATGAAATCCATTTTCTTGTCTTCAAATAGCCTTTCATTCTGAGCCATCATCGACTGTTAGTTCCAGCAGAATGTTTTGGTTGTTTGTCCACTTCTGGACTTTGGTTTGATTCCAGAACTTGAGTTTTGCCTGCACAAGATCTCTCCTCATTTGTATGCAGACTGTTGGCTCTTTGTTTTTGGGGTAGAGGCCTCAGCCTTTGAAGTCCTCTCTACCCTCAGTAAAAACTTCTAATTAGTCACTGTTTATTACATGATTGTTGTTAAATTTAGCCAGGGGGGTGGGGG